CCTGCACTGGTCCCTTAAGGGCTATATTGTGAAGAGTAGGGATGGCAGCGATAACTCAAAGCCTCCCTCCCTCCACCAAAACACTCTCTAAATTCCCCTCGCACACTCAAATGCATGTTCCAGGTAGGCCACAAACACAGAGCCAGTTCTAATCCCCAAATTGTATTTACTCTTTCCCACATGAAAACCATCATGCTTGGGTGACGATCCTGAATGTGGAAAGGAGCAAATTATGTTGTGTCTATAAACCCATTTGTGAGAACATGCCCAGTACAGTTTTCAGTTCTACTGTCAAACAAAAAAAGCCTGATGTCACATGCCAGTCCCGCAATCTGCATCACTGTCCTGGCCAGTCCTATGTTTGAAAAGAATAGACAGAAAAGGGAATGGGAGGTATTTTGGTATCTGTTCTCAAAGTGTTAACAATACGCAGAGAACAATAGCAGAACAACTGCCAACCACCTCTGACTGTGCAACACGCCCAACTGGCCCAGTGCCACCTATAGGCTACTTTTACTGCATTCCAAAAAAAAAAGCACTTATTCAAGGCTAAAGCAGGGTGGGAGTGAGCTTGTAAAAGTCTAATTCCAACTGTACACTCCCATTTGAGCTTTCGGCTGCTTTAGCAGAATTAAATGCTGCAATTTTCAGATTTCTGAAACACATTCCATATCAAAGGTGCCCTCAAGCAGAAATCCTTCATGCTAAATTGAGCCAGTAAATGGAGTTTCAAGTGTCAGGTAATCGAGTGAGCAAGTGAAATCACGCAATTCTGACTGACAACAAAGAATAATGCAAGAAAAGTTCTGTAATATTAACCCACGATTTTAAAGGGTCACTTTTGTGAAAAGACATCAGCCAAAGGGACAAACAATACCTGTATAAGTCCCATCAGCTAGCAGGAAACATTCCCCTAACTTTGGCTAACATTACCTATAAAGTCTAATAATGTGTAAAGAAAACCTTTTAATCTAAGAAAAGAACATTCAGAGGATATTTTTCAGATGCTGTCAGGGCCTCAGATTATGTTACATGATGATGTTTTTGGAGAACTTTTCTAGAAGAACATTCTAAGACCAAAAAAATCTTCCTGCTGGAAACATTAATAGAACATGTGTGTAATATTCTCAGAATGTTTTAGACAAAAAGTCTAGCTGGGATGTATTAGTTCAAGTACGGTAAAGAAACCTTTTGTGCTCTGCTACTATAGTTAAACAGCAGGTAGGGCTGCATCCTGAACATACAAAACAATGCACTCTTACAAAATGAAGCGTGAGTACGCCTGATGGCAAACACCAGGGCTGGCCAAAGTGTGCCCAGTGGGCCAAAGTTGGCCTGTGAGGATGTTTGATTTTGCACACCAGAAACGTATCCAGCTGTCTAGATTTTTGCCAACCAGAAAGTTACCCATCCCCTCACCCAATAAAGGAACAAACATATATTTTTATACTATATATAACTTGTTACATTCTTATTTTCCCTTTAACTTTGTATTTTTGAAGTATTTTAGTAAACACAGTGAAATATTAAAATAATATATCTTATAAACGCAATTTGAAACCTATTTACCTTCTTTATTTGTATATTGTTTTGTCTTTTTGGCCCTCGGACCACCATAAACATTGCAATTTGGCCCCCCAAGGCAAAAAGTTTGGGCACTCCTAGCAACGACAACATGCTCTGTAGTCATGTAAATTCAATATTAGATCTAATAAATAGTGTCATGAGCTTTATATAAATTAATGAACAAAAGAGGAACCTTTATAATCCAGGGAGTATTTAAAAGGCCCATGTCCTAAATTTTATTTTTTTTTCTGAGGTACTCTTATGACATTTATGTGGCTTTATGTATATGATTAATTTCTACATGACCATTTTCCAACCTCTCTCTATCCCTTAGAATTAAACAGGCTGTTGTTGTTACTGTGCCTCTAAGGCCAAGTAAATAACCTCTGTTCTGATTGGCTGCCCTGTATTATGCCTAATTCAAAAAGCCGTCCAGACTGAAACACTCCAGCATGAATGGGCGGAGTTAAACTAGGCTGAGTATTTTTTTTTATTTCGCAACATTACAAAAACAGGAATATATTACTTTAGCTACATTAGCTGAGAGTGGCTGAGCGTGATGTGGTGCGATGTGCCATTTTTAAAGGATGCCTGAAATTCTGTTTTTGATATATCGCATCGCACTGTCCACCTTAAAATGAATGAGGAGAGAGTATTCCATGAAGTGGAGAAGAGGAGGCCTTTACGACCCTTCCATTAAACAATCTGAAGAGAAACAACCAGACTGCTGGAAATGAGGTTAGCTAAGTAGACACACATTAGCATAATTGAGCTGCCCAACACCAGGGCAGTGTAATATTATTTTAACAATGTAATGTAGACTACTGATGTTAAAAGGGGGGAGAAAACGTAACCCATTACAAACTCTATTAAATACATGCCCCAAAGCACTGCTAACCAGCTCCGTCAGTAAAGCGTCTATCTTTTGAGATGTCTGTGGTTTGTTTACATTTCGATGCGCACTTGCTGTTTCCGGAGTAGATGTCCTGCAGGCCTTGCAAGGCAATGCGATAAAACATTTGAATGCCAGCTTGCTGTTAGGACACAATCCGATCATAATCTTGACGCTCACTACATCTTTCCTAAATGTCAGTTTATTTTTGTCCTTCAATCACTGCTTAGTAACCTTTACACTATCCTTCAGTATCTCGCTCAAACTTCCCGGTTTTTAGCAGTGAGCTAGCGACCCTGTGAATGTCCTTTGAATATGGAGCTCCAGGTATTCAAAAGATGTGCTTGAGGGATCTGTAGAAGCGAGACCTGAACCTCAACAAAAAGTTGCCCATTTCAAAAGCCAAATATAAAATGTCAACCACTCAACTAACAAAATTGATTTGTCCTTGTTGGCAGTGATCTGCGTCATCAGAGGTAAGATATAAATGAAAAAAAAACCAAAAAAAACATTTCCACACCCGCATGGCAGTATGCTTTAGCAGGGCTGCTTGACTGTTTGGGTTTTTAAGGTTGCTGCTTTTTCCATCTTTATGTACATTTCAGCTGTCTGATTTTAATTTATACCATCTTCACTGGGGTGAATGTTTTGCTTGTCAAGAACGGATAAATGCTTTATAGGGAGATGTTGCACTGATGGTTGAGTTTATCTTGACCTGTGTTCTCATTAATATGTGCGTAATCTTGCTACTGTTTTGTCTTGATTGAAAAAATGCGCTCATAATGGTGATGTGACAACACTGAGGTTAGTATGATGCCATTGTGGGGCTGCAAAGGACTTGTTTAACTTGTTGGGATATCATAACAAAATCACTGACCACTTAAAAAAGGTCTGCCTACAATTATCAACACAGCTGGGAGTATATAAAATGTTAGAAAGACGGTTTACATATTGCAAAGGAGTTACAAAGATAACTGCATGTTCTGTGGTCAGAGGTTTTCTAGCTAAAACTGCATGCATCTCAGCACAGTACATCCTGAGCCTCCAAAGTGTTTGATGGCATGGAAAAGAAAATGAAATAACTAGCCTGCTAAATTTACAGTAGTGACGTATAAAATATACACAGTTTTGATGTACTAGAATGTGTTGCACAAACGTTGCCCACAAATCAGTGAGTAATAAATTAAGTGACATTAGGGGTGAGTGATATGACAAAAATGTAATGATGACAATACATCAAGACATTTTAATGATATGTGATATCACAACATTTATCCCAACCAGTTTTCCTTAAGTTTGATGAGTTCTGCCACACTTACTGTACTGCCACAGTAAGAAACACAATCAAAACTATGAATACACAGGTTTTATTTAATGTTTGACATGTAGTGCGCTGCATTAAATCAAATTAAACAAGACAGCAAAAGAGTTATGAGAAGAATTCTGATACCCTGATAACTGAATAACACAATATTCTCTAAGAGCTGTGCTGTTTTCCATCTGGTGGTAAGGCTGGATAAAGAACAGGAGGCCTGTAATCCTGTACCTCGCCTGCAGCTCCGCTCTGCTCTGCTTCACTTTGTTCTCGTTTGAATGTGGTGGGTAGTGACGTGTCTCTTTACGTCATCACTTTTCTCAGTCTGGAGCCCAGCTCTGTGAAGCTCGCGAGGCCGGATCGTTAGCCTAGCTGCTAAACTAATGATGTTATGGTCAAACATTCAGCGAATACTTTTCACTTATATTTTACAGAATAACATGTTGTTGAACTCAATTTGACCGGTTATATAACGTTAACCTAATATAGCAGCTACCTCCTCAAAGTCTGAGGTACATTTTCGTAAATTGCCAAACAAATTTGCTAGTTAAATATTTTAAAAAACGTATTTTTTTTAAGTTTATTAAAAGTTTAGTTTATTTAAATAAACTGAGATAATATACCGTTAGCGTACTTTTAAAAAAAAAGCCTCTTTAAAAATAGAAACGTTGACCAAATCACAAGAGAGCAGTTCGAGAGAAATTTCTCGGAGGACTGAGACTCAGAAACAGTAGTGACACTCATTCTCCGGTCTGTGGGCGTGGCCTTCCTCCCTGAGAGGACTCCGGTCAGCTGGAGTCCAGCTCTGGATGCTTCTCATCAAAATAAACCGAGACTTGATCAGACAAACAGTAGCTGCGTGTCTGTCGCGGCGACTCAGAGATACGGACATGTTCATGGTGCAGGCTGGAGGAACTGCCTGCACAGCGCCTGTGGCTGCCTTTACAGAGGTGAAGGAGAGAGAAGAGCTGTTGCATAACCTGCAGAAGAGAGAGAGAGAGAGAGGCGCACAGAGGCAGCAGCGCTTTATTTGAAAAGCTAATGGCGCCAATACAGGTCGCTGTCCTGCTTTAGTCTATACGGGTATTGTTTTGATGGATTACATATTATCTCTGCAGAAATGACTGATTTTGGTCGCTGTGAGCGGAGCGAGAGGCGCCGGTGTGTAAAACTACAGTGAACTTTGGATGGTCTCTTTTTCCTCAGCTGTGTTGTTGCTGCAGCAGCATTACGGACCCGGAGCGTTCAGTGTTTTAGCCTCCACTGTGTTCTGGTCCTCATTATCTTCTCTACTAGAAACCGTTCAAATGCTGGAATGGATGGGCGCTGTGTGCATCATCCTCGTCCTGGTGGTCTCAGCCTGGCCAGTGTTGAAGCGCTTAGCGGAGGCATGCACTTCAGACACCGAGCACAAAGTGCAGGGTCCAGGTGCAGCAGCAGGAGCAGGAGCAGCTCCGCCGCTGGCGTTCATCTGCAAACCCTCCGCACTGGCCAACTACCTGCTCCAGCACTGCAAGAGCTTCTGCAAACCCGACTCGATCCCGGCGTGGAGCTGGAGGAGTGTCCCCTCTTTCCAGACCGTGTTTGGTGCTCTGTGGCCGCGCGACTCCACCGTCCATTTCGTCCGAGATCACTTACAGCTCAGTGACGACGGGCTGGTGGCTTTGGACTGGGCTGTTGGTGGTGGTGGTAGTGGGACACATCACAAGAGGAGGAGGACTTCCAGTAATTCCACCAGCCCCATTCTCCTAATAATCCCCAATTCTTTTGGGAAGATCACCAGGAATGTACTGAAGGTAATAATGGAAATAATGGTGCTCTGTTGCAGCAAAAGGCGGTTTTTCCCCTCAGTCTTCTCAATCTGTAGTTAATCTCACCCTGTTTTTAGGCATTGTTCTCCAGACTGCATGAAAGTAGGCCATGGAGCTTGTAACTTGAGTAATACTGTATGTGGGGTAGAAGCTGAATGGCTCTTTCATATTGTTTTGACTGTTTTGTTTATCAAATCAACATCTGGCAGATAGTCGTAAGGCAGAGCCTCATGTGTGACATTGCAGCACACAAGACACAGTAAAACAAGTGCAGTCAGTTGTTTTAAGTCAAATATATACATGAAAAAGGGGATTTGTAATAATGTGTTGTAAAAGGATTTGATATATTTTAATATTATTGTGTACAATTTGAAATCTTCGGCCCATACAGAACCATACAGCTGCAGTCTGTTATATAACTACTGGCTGTTTCAGCTTGGATCATTTTTACCAAGATGCAGTGGACCGTTCCATATACAGTTTTTTGCAGTGCCTCCTGATTGACCCCTTCTCACTATAAAGTCATTTTACTTCTGACATCCACACCTTTCTTCAGTCATAAGCCTCCAGTCTGCAAAGTCTGCCTCACAGCCTCCCACAAAAGAAATGAAATGTAGAAATGTGCCGTAGTTGCTGGCACTCGGCACACAGCAGAGAGGAGGGGTCCTGTGTGCCATCCTTTCATCTTTCGGTGGGAGGCACATGGTGTAAGCCAGTGCATGGGCGTTTCTATCACCATTGCACCAAGGTGTCAGGCCAATTAAGCTTCTCTCATGAGAGTAGGGCACAGCAGTGCTGTCAGAGGGGTGTCGCATTCACTAACTCTCACAGCACATGGAGTATTTCTTTTCTCAATGAAAGCGCTGCCCTGTTTCTTGATTAATGCTCAGTGTGCTATATTGACGGCCCACGGAATAAATGTTACTGGATATTTTTACCACTACCGATTCATACCAAGCCAATGATCATCAAATCAAATCAGATAGATGGAAATACATCTTTGTTCCAACATTAGAGCATTCTCATTATGTAAAAATAGGCTTTGTTTGGCAGATTTGTGGTGCGCCATTGAAAGACTGAATTGTTAGTTTTTAGACATGATAATGAATTAATGACATTAGAAAAATTGTTGCTTGATTTGATAATTGCTTGTATTTCATTCACTGCAAGACAATGAATGACTTGCATTGTTTGATGATTTGATTCACTAGAAGATAATGAATGACACCAAATGGAAACGTTGATTCCATTGCAGTGACACTATTTGCCCTTTATACTGCCACCTAAAAATCAAAGCTATTGCAGGCATAACTGTAAATCATATGAAACTGCCTGAAAACCTTTGAGAAATGCTGACACATTTGTATGTTACACTGAGTGTTTTATGATCAATAGTCCATAAGCCTGAGTGCTTTATTGAGTCAACTCTGGTCTCTAAGAAGGATTTTTTCGGTGGTGGAAATGGAGCAGAAATTACGCCCCTGACCTCAGGGTAATGGGTCCATGGTTCTTTTGCTCTTCTTCCTTGCTGACGTGCACACTTGCACACTGCTTCGGCATGTGTGCTGCAGGGGCATGTAGATTAACCAAAACTCTAAGTATGTTTGAGAAAATAGGTGACTCATTGTTTCACATATGCTTTGGACACTATGTAAATTCCCACCCTGCCTTTTGACCCTAACTCAAAGACTGCATATTAATGTGATAAAGGCCAGAAAGCGGTCAGACACAGTAGACCTGATAGAGCCTGCAAATTGCCAGTATAAATTTGCTTGTGTCCGACTACATGAGGCAAAAAACATTGTTTCTACTCTTATAAGCAGGTGGAACAGAGTCTGACCTTATTCTAACTTTCAGAGTGAACGCTTGCTTGTGAAGTCTTCTCTGACTCCTCGAACATGTGTGGAATGTGGAGAAAGGCGGCCGTGCTGGTTTTCTCCATGTCTTGAGACCCCATGACAGAATTCCACATGGGCCTGACGTTTAAAAGGGGAAAAGTACTAAGTGGCATCAGCTACAATTACATGGCCTGCTGGTTTGCTTATTTCAAAAAGATCTGGGTCAGTGACATGCCTCCTGAACATGAATTAAACGGAATATTTAGAAAATAGATACATACTTTATAAAGCCGAACATTTATTTTCTCAAGGCTGTGAAACTGTTGAATGTGTGTAAGAGACTCATGAGACATCTCTTTTTACGTCACTCGTGCCTGTTTGACCCCTTCTCTGCTGAGATTGGCGTGTGACGGTGTGTGTTTTTTCTCCGTAGCTCTGTGAGGTGGGTCTGACTCATGGCTACCTCCCCGTGGTCTTTAACCGCCGCAGTCAGAATGGCACACCCCTCAGCACTGTTAAACTGCAGCAGTTTGGTGACCCGGCCGATCTGAGGGAGGCGGTGCGCTACATCCGTTACCGGCAGCCGGCAGGCCGTATTTACGCTGTGAGTGAAAGCACAGGCTCAGGCCTCCTCCTCTCGTACCTGGGAGAGTGCGGCTCCTCCAGCTACATGACTGCTGCTGCTTGCCTCTCCCCCATCTTCCGCTGCCAGGGCTGGTTCGAAAGTGGTCCTACCTGGCCATTTAATTGGGCCCTTTTGCTCTACCAGAAGATCTGCCTCAGCAGGTACAGTTAAAGGAGGGTTCTTTTCTTTTTTTTTTTATAAAACTGAGTTATGAAATGCAGGGATTTCCTGGTCCAATCTGAGTGCAAAAGCGTGGCTGGTCATTTAAAAAAAAACCCATAAAAAATCAGTTCAGAGTGTATCACACCATGTAGAGGATAGTACTTTATAGGTTCACTTTAGGAGGCTTCGTTGTAACACTGTGTTAGAACTAGCCCTGCCATGTGGAGGCTGTACTTTAGCCTGGCTGGATCTCACTATGAGTTGTTTATATGCTTCAAAAAGGTGCCATATTACTGTCACCAGGAGAACATGATTAAAAGCACATTGTACTTAAACCTGTTTAACCACATAAAATGTGTTGCATTTTACCTCCCTTGTCAGGTTATGCCCTGTTCTTATCCACCTACTAAAAGTACATTTTTAATCAATGATCTACTGTAGCATTTTAAAGTAATTGTTTGCACTGTGGAGCTGTGTTATCTACAAAAATACATACTACAGGCCTTTTAGTGTTAAGCAGCATAAAGCAGAATCAGAAGCCCAAATTCTCCTACAGTCATGTAATCTCTTCTTATACTACAACCACATTCGGGGTGTGCCCTTACCATGCAAGAAGATACATTTTCCAACATCAGTATTATTCAGAAACATTAACCTAAAGCTCTTTAAATTAAAATACAATAGTTGCTGCCAAAACCAAGGATGTTTATCCAGCCTTATTGATTTCTATTATGTGTTTGGGCAGTTTGCAAGCTCAAGACAATATTTCAAAATGATGCTGAACAGGATGGTCTGCTTCTCCTCAGGATGAAATTGTTGCTGATTGTGTTTGAACTTTCCTGCAGGTACAGAACAGTGCTGGGTGAGTTGATCCACACTGAAAGCCTGTTCTCCAGCAGCTCACTGAGGGCCATGGAGGAGGTGCTGTTCTGCCAGGCTGGCCTGAAGGGGGCGCAGGTAGAGGGGGCCTGGGAGGCCTACTGGGAGCGAAATGACCCGTTGAGGGACGTGGATGAGGTGGCCATCCCCGTGCTGTGCATATGTAGCCGAGACGATCCTGTCCGTGGTGAGCCTCAAGCCACGCTACCCTGGGAGCTCTTCGAGACCAACCCTCACTTCTTCCTGCTGCTAACCGCTCTCGGAGGCCACTGCGGCTTCTCCTTCCCCGAGGAAGGCCCTGTGCTCTGGAGCCACCAGGCTGTTCTGGAGTTCTTTAGAGCCACCACGGAGTTCTTCGCTGCTGAGGAACGGGCCAAGCAGGCGGCTAGACGGAGAGGGCTTAGCGCTGTTGGGAAGACTTTCCGTCATCGCAGTGTAAGCACCTGCAAGAGGCTGCCTGCCTGCTCCCACAACATCCACGCCATCTACAACTGGCAGCGATCCTACACCAGATGATGAGCGCTGACGTCTCTTAGGCTTGGAAAAGCGGCAAACTGTGGACCAATGGTGCAATGACAATCAGAACATTCTAAGCATATGTTAGAGATTTGCTTTGAGGAGTCGTTGACCGACAATGCAACTTTTTCATTGACAAACATTTTCGTTTTGCAGATATACAACCACCTACACCAAAGGGTTTTTTTCATACATTTAGTCCTTTTTGGATGCGTTGAGCACTTCATTCCAAAATCTAGAAAGTCATCATGTAAAAAAGCTCTACTTTACAGATTTACTGCAATGGTGCTTCCAGTATTTCATTCCCTCAGCCATTTCTTGTGTTCGTCTGGAAGTCTGCAAATGTATTTGATGGTCTCGCTGCCTTTGAAACGTTACACACGTAAAATGATAAACAAAGCAGCTCCCAAAGACCTTAGATACAAATTTTCCGTGAGGCAGTCCTCTCTGTTTGAGAAGCCTCTGGAAGAGGAAACAAGAATAATAATGAGCTGAAATGTTATCACAACTCCTTTACATTGTACTATTGTTTTTGGAGACTGGCAGGATATTTATAATTGTCTCGTTGATGTATGTTGTATGTGAATAGTTGTCTGAACTGCTGGGTTTTTTGTATACCACACTGAGGTTTGCAGGGTAATAATTTTCTTGTTGGAATGGGTGGAACTAGCTTATGACTTATCACTGAAAACTCGAATGCTGGATGGTATGCCAGCTGTTTTTTTTTTCACTATTTGTAATACAGTTTTTCTGTAAAATCTGTTTTGTTGTTAAATTGTGTACATGCTTGATGAAGGATCTTAATTAAAAGATTTATCTGAAATCATAAACTTGAGTTTCATGTTTATTGAAAGAATGTACACTGACCAATCACTTAAAACCACGTCCTTGTTTCTACACTTACTGTCCATTTTTATCGACACCACTCACTATATAGGTGCACTTTGTAGTTCTACAGTTACAGACTGTAGTCCATCTGTCTCTCTGCATACTTTGTTAACCCCTTTTACCCTGCTCTGGTCAGGGTATGGTCAGGACCACCACAGAGAAACTATTATTTGGTTGGAAGATCATTCTCAGCACTGCATTGACGCTGATGTTGTGGTGGTGTGTTAGTTGGTGTTGTGCTGGTACAAGTGGATCAGACACAGCAGTGCTGCTGGAGTTTTTAAACACCTCAGTGTCACTGCTGGACTTAGAATAGTCCACCAACCAAAAATATCCAGTCAACAGCGTCCTGTGGGCAGCGTCCTGTGAGCACTGATGAAGGACTAGAGGAAGAACAACACAAACTATACTGCAACAGATGAGCTACTGTCTCTGACTACATGGACAAGGGGGACCAATATGGTAGGAATGTCTACTAGAGTGGACAGTGAGTTTCACTGCTGTGTCTGATCTACTTGTACACACTTACAACCACCACCACGTCGGTGTTACTGCAGTGCTGAGAATGATCCACTGCCCAATAGTACCTTCTCTGCAGAGATCCTTTGGGGCTTCTGACCATTGAAGAACAGGGTGAAAGGGGGCTAACAAAGTATCTAGAGCAACAGATGGACTACAGTCTGTAATTGTAGAACTACAAAGTGCACCTATATGGTAAGTGGAGCTGATAAAATGGACAATGAGTGTAGATACAAGGAGGTGTTTTTAATGAAGTGGCCAGTCTGTGTGTATTTTAACTTAATGTTTGTGGAGATGTATTCTGTAGAAAGCAGACAGAGCATAATATTTATATTACATAACTAAAAATGCATCAGGCGACCTTTTTTGTCCCACTGCAGTCAAGATCAAACCTTTTGTTTTTTTTAATTGGACATTTCCCAATATAGCTCTAGCCAGCAGCCAGAGCAGAGCGACTGTGTGGGCCTCTGATTCGATGTGACAGTCTCTGCAGATTCTCTTTCAGATGCTTACTCCGAGAGAGGGATGTGGAGCAGCCGCACATGCAGGCTCCTCTGCTTACTCAGCTATTTGCCTGTCTGCCCCTTGCTGTTCACTTCACAGAGAACCCTGTGCCATCATTTTTTTTTCTTTTGAAAAAAAAACACAGATGTATGCAAATATGTAAATACAGCTGGTCAAATTACATGTTGATTTGTTGATAAAATAAGTTAACAGTTAAGTTTTTTTGTACAATTTAGTGCACCGCTTCAATTTATTTGTATTTAACATATGGGTGGGTTACAAAAATATAAAATGTGCCATTACTATTGCATAAGCCACATTTAATTTTTCTAGCAATATGTTAAATTCAGCAAAGATACAGTAATTGTGCATTAAAATGTGCAGAAGTGTGTTCTCCTTTGAGGATGTGTCAAATTTTCATTTAGAAAATCAACAAAATGTAATTTGACCAGGGGTGCCCAAACTTTAGCATACAACTCTGTCTTTTACATGTTTTAGAGTTTTGCATTGGAACACCAACAGGTCTGTGGCAAATGATTTAGCATTTTAAGATGTGTTTTATCTGCAGGAGTGATGTACTAATGACAGCATATACAGTACTGTGCAAAATTAAAGACCACTATTAATTTAATTTTCAGTCCAAACAGCCTCAACAACTAAATATATCAGTCTTCTATTGTTAATATGTCCACTCTATTGCTTTATTATTCATTCTTTTTCGGGAGACTTGCTTTGAGATTTGAGAAATCTGCAGGGATATTTTCCTACAGCTCAAGTTCAGTCTTAGAAGTTGTTTGCGCTGGAAGGATGGACAGAAACTGCTGTGGATTTTTTCAGATTTAAAGCAGAAGTGGAGCTTGATTTTCTCCCATATCTTAAAAATAAAAGTTCTAAGTACTGTTTACCTGGTGGTGACAGTTGTTGTGGTCTACCAGGTCTTGCACTGTTGTTAGAAATAACATTTCCTCTGTATCTTTTAATCATTTTTTGAACTCCAGTTTGGGGAAATCCTGTTTTCACTTATTTTCTTTTGACTCCCCTTTCTTATATGAGTGGATTATCTTCTATCTAATCTTCTCAAAATATTTCCTGAAAAATAATAACTTGTATTTAATGGCTGTTTTGATAGGAAATTAAATAAATGAAGAGTGGCCTCAGAATTTTACCCAGTGCTGTATTTCAGTTAATAACACATTTTTTTTGTTTGTGTAAGTACTCTAAACCCGTTTCCAATAGGCAGGGCCCTGAGAAGAAACAGATCTTTGAAATCAGCACGCTAATTTGATTGGCGTAATTGAATTGCCCTTTGAAGCGAGCACACAGCACACTTTTACTTAAAGGATAATTGTTAGATCTCAATTGATTTGAGGAAACGTTCCCTTAACTCCTAATAGGACGTGATTACTTGCTTTCATATTCCACTGCCTGTTCCACAGAGAGCTCATTAACACCACAAAATGCAAACTGTCCTTACCACAACTTTACTGATTCTTCTCACGCTCCTTTCAGACTGCAGTTTGAGCAATTCGGAAGTAGGCATGGGCTGCAAGAGTCATATTGTAATTAAAAATTTAGTTGGAGAAGATGTAAATAATGTTAAACCAGGCTTGTGGAATCTGTGAAACTCCCCTAGTGCCATCTAGTGGATAATCTAGGTGGTTCAGAAACACAAATGGAAGGGGTGGTTGCAGGTTTTCATTCCAGCAAAGCAGGAACACACATGATCAGTTGTTGAAGACTGATTAAACAAGTAGAATTAGGTGTGCTCCTGCTTGTTTGGGATGAAATCCTGCAGCCACACCATCCCTTTGTGGATAAAACTGGATACCCCTGAAATAGAGGAAAAGGTTGGACTGGCTGGTGCTAAACTCAGTTTGGTAGAATTTCTTCCAAGGACTGATGAACTGATAAGCCCACAGGGTCGAATCTATGTCATGTGTCTGGGAGGGCATTTGCCAACAGCTGAGACCCCCCCCCCTTTATGTAATTAGTTTATTCAGAGAAATTAATATTTGCAGTGCCAGTATGTGATTTAAACTCCAGTATTATTTATTAGGACCCCAGAAAAGAAGACATACAAGGACACAGGTGTTAGTAACAACACTATAAATTGATGAATATCTAATCACAATCAGAGATTTGCAACTCAATCTGTTTTTAATACTTTATGGTTATTGTAGCTAATAATCGCTGAAGCTTGCATGTTTTGTTTGCCTCACTTTCCAAGATGCAAACAACAAATTAAGACCTCCAGTGTTTACAAGCTGCAAAAGACAATCTTGTGTTTTTCAACCTAATCTCTACTTGCTGTATCTGTAGCACACAATTGGTCCTACAGACAATAATTTAGATTAATTTTCCTCTACTCTCTGAAGCACCTTCCCATTCACTCCTGTCATAGGTGTACTTTCCTGTTCTTGTACAAAGCAGAGAAGGTACTCAGAGAAAGTGAAAGAAAGTACTTCCTGTGAGGTTTTTGGAAGGAATCATGCTGCCATTGCTAAAAGACTAAGAGAGGTGAGTACTGCGGTAGCGCTGTTATTCTAAAATCCTTGGCTGTGGTTTTCATGGTGTGAAATGGTGAGCTCTGTGCCAGGCCTCAATGGCTAAACTTGCCTGCCCAAATAACTGAGGTTTACACAGTTCCAAAACCACCTAAACATGATGGACAAGTACACCAAATCACAAAAACAGCTTACACAACTGGTATTATGTAAATGAATTACCATGGATTACATTTGTCTTGTCAAGTTAATCCCAAAATCCCTTTTTTGTCTTAAGGTTTTTCCAAACCAATTTATATTGAATCTGGTTATTGAAACTGCTTCAGGACCCATTCAGAAATCTTCTCAGGCAGCAGATGGCAGTATGGGAGACCAGTGAATGACTGAGGAAAACCAAGCTAGACATGACAGACGCAATGACGCAGGCTTCTCTCCCTTTGGCTTGGAAACTAAGATTATATTTAGCACCTATTTTGAGTGGAAACACTACACGTGCAGTCCCAAATAAGCTCTACTTCTTCATGCGTGCACTGAATGTCACAACATGCCTGAAAGAGTGGAATTTCGCACAGCTTCAGTGTTTCCGAGCTTGCTGCGCGGCTGTATGCATTCTTTCATTATCATGATATTGCGAACTCAATCGCTGCCTGTTAGATAACAGCACAGTCCCAGCACAGTTTTATGACCTGACAAACAATTACCCCAATTCTGTGACGTGTCAACTGCTGCATGCAAGATTGCTCCCACAGCAATGAGAGTTTAATGGTTGGTAGGATCGTGTGGTGTGGATTTTCACAAAAAGATCTACAAAGGCCTATTATTTTTTTGGTGTCTTTATATTTGTTTCTTGATATAATATGTAAATATAGTATGACAAATGAGCCAAGCTGAGCACTTTTTAAGTTTGGCTTAAGATTTATTTCCCTGTGCATGGATATGCTCTGTTGCTCCACACTGGAGCAGGAGATGGCTGATAACACCTGGGCTATTTGACCTGTAGCGCAGAATGTTCTCTGTTTCCACTACCCAGGTGTGACCATTTCCAACTCAAGCAACAAATATTTGCTGTGGCCTTCGGCAAATTCTCGACATGTGCATGACGCAGGAATACTAGGTGGGGTCAGCTTAAAGAGAGCTCTCTCTTTCTCTCTCTCTCTCTCTCTCTCTCTCTCTCTCAGTTAACTCCTTTCCCCTGGGCAGGGCACAGACATGAGTAAGACAGACAGTAGGAGATCTAATGCAATGTGACACGTTGTCTGGCTGGGCAGAAGGGGACCAGATCAGTGCAGAAATTG